CTTCCTGGAGAGGTGGCGAAACGTCTTCAAATCTTGGAAACCAAGTCCAGTGGATATTTTTTTTAACTTTTACGGAAGGTCATAACCATGCTTTTCCAACAAATGAACAACTCTATGGTTTTCTCTGTCCTCACAGAGAGGGGCTGGCAAGTCACACCTCTGTGGGAGGTCCTGTAGAAGAGTTGGCTAAAAATGGGGGGTTGGAGAGATCTTATAGCTGGTTATTCACCAAACTTTTATTTCCTTCTCTGGTCATCATGTCAAGATGAAATATGGACACTGGTTCCCAATGTCCAAAAACCATGATCATGGCATATGGCATAACACCATCGTGGATTTCTCTTGCACTAATCGAGGGGTATCACTAATTTTGTTTTCAGGCCTTCATGCCTCTGCTGCAGGCTGCTGCTGCCAGGTCCAGTGGGATGGGGATCCATAGAGCAGCTGTCATCAACATGTCCTCTGTCCTCGGTTCCATTACTTTGAACTGTGGCGATGGCGCCAAATACAAAAACTATGCCTACGGAACCTCCAAGGTCAGAACAAGCAACATGAATTGTAGTAATATTTAGGTGGTGGCGGGTTGGTATGTTGGTATATCTGAGTAAATAATTCTTAAAGGATAATATAAGACATAGGTGTTTGTATTCTGTTTGTTTTGTATTTTAACAGGCGGCTCTAAACATGGTAACAAGGTGTCTAGCTGCAGATTTGAAGTCCAGTGGAATCCTCTGTATGTCTCTGCACCCTGGCTGGGTGAAGACTGACATGGGCGGTCCTAATGTAAGTGCACTTCTACCCCTTTACCACTGGCCTTAAAGCCAGTTTAAACCTGGGAACAATGGGCTTTTAGTGGTAGTGGGAACAGCTAACTGACACGTGTCTACCCGGGTCAAACGACTCGGCAAGAGACCCGCATTAAAATCTATCTAACAGAATGATTAGAGGCCAGTAGAGTTTTCTAAACTGCAGCAGCAGCTGATTATCAACAACAACCAGGGAGCAAGTTTTCAGACAGTAATCAGAATGTGGTTTATAAGGCAGTTTTATTGTTTTTATTGTTTTTTTCCTCCTCTACTGTTGACATTTAGTTTAGAGGAACTCTTGTTAAGCCCCTGTCACATCTTGACGTTTTAGCCAGTGTACGTCTGACGTACATAAAATTGGGCAAAAACGCTGACATACGTTGGATTACTTATGGGCACGCTGAAGTGCGATGAAACACGCAGGAACACGTCCACATACGTCGAGTACGTCAAGAACAGGGGCGTGCATACATAGACACTAGGTGGTGCTAAAGCACTGGGAAGTTTGCCCTTTATCAAAGAAAATGCCCTTTTGA